AAGAAAAGACTTTGAGAAATTACGCGATTACCCTATTTTATTACATAATATTGAAATGACTATCTACATAATTTTATATAAATAAAGCTAAATAAAGCAATAAAGGAGATATTAAAATGACTATCTACATGATTCTATTCTACATGACATAATAAATCTAAATAAAACAATAAAACAATAAATAAAACAATAAAAGAGAAGGGAATTGAAAAGAACCTCCGTAGCAAGCTTTATATTGAGAATCTCGAACTGTGAGGATGCGTTTTGGCAACCCCTCTCTCTACACTGTCTCTCCTCACCAATACAAGATCGACTCCACTAAAAATTTAAAGAAGAATCAAATGCCGGAATATAATTCCTTAACCGATTGTTACCTATTTAAGGCAATCGGAAAGATCATTCGAGAGAGGGAGAGAAGTAGACAAGTGCTCTAAAGTGTTTCAGAGCTCTCTGGAGTGTCTGTGGTGTGAAAAAGTGGCAAATGAGCCTCCTATTTATAGTTTTTCGCAGCTGGCACACTTTGGGACGGCCGTCTGGGTTGGGACGGCCGTCTGGACTGGGATGGCCGTCCCAAATAGCAAAATTACACAGAGCGGGACCCCCAGGAAGGCCGGGACGACCGTCCCACTTAAAATGGGTTTGGGACGGCCGTCCCACATACGGGACGCGCGTCCCAACTGTAAAATAGCAGTTGGGACGGCCGTCCCACTTTTGGGACCGTGGTCTCGGCCTGTTTTGTCCAGTTTTCGTGTTCTGGGACCCCGGGAAGCTTTCCTTTCCTTTTTCGGACATAGATTGATGCCGATGTGTGTCCGTTGAAGCTTTATCTTCATATAGGGAGTCTTCTTGGCCTCCAATAAGATGTCGGGCGAGCTTTGTCTTTGTGTAGGAAGTCTCTTTTGGCTTTTATTGTGCGAGTGAGTGAACTCCGTCTTTTGTTGTGGGAGGTCCTTCTCGTTTTGGGAAGCCGGATGAACTCCATCTTCGGGTGAAGTTCCTCTAGCTTTTATTTTGAGAGGCCGGGCAAAATTAGGGGTCTACAAGCACATTAAAGGAAATCTCAACACAGTTCCTGACTTTTTGTCCAGACCCAAGAAGATTATCCAATTGATTTTTGACACCTATAGTATTCTTCTTATATTCATGGTCAAACCTCTCTCTACCAAACCCAAAACCATAAAAATTTATCCTCTTGGACTGAACCCAACCACACCAGCCGATATCCTCCACTATGCAAGGACTAGCTATTTCTACTTTCTGCATGAAACCATGAAATACAAAATCATCTTAGCCTTCATCTTTAACCCTGATATTCCTTTTGGGGGAATTTCTGAATTATTTTTTGACTTGGGTTGGGATCTCTGTGAACCAACTCTCTAAACTATATGGTGTAACACTGTTTAGTACTCCATTCCTATCGCATTGAAAACACAAATAGTCTATAAAATCTTGACAGATCCTTACAAGGATAAGTTCTACTTCTAGACTCTACTCGAGTGGTTTTCACCACTATCTTGGTGGAGAAAAGAACTCAGGAAGATTCTAGACTGTCAAAGGCAAAGGGGAGTTACTGAAAGATCTCTCAAAGATCTAATCATGATCTTCGAGACCTATCCACTTGATGAAAGTTACTGGGCACAACTGGTGCGACACATCTGTGAAGTCAACAACTACCGTCACTAGCCAGCGGACCCCAACATCACCAGCTCATCTCAGAGACCGCTTAGTTCTTATCCTCTGAAAAAGATCGTCCCAAAAGACGATGAATCTCAACAGATAAGATTCTTCAAATCAACAACGAAAATCTACGTACCTGAAGAAGAATTCCAAAATGTTGAAGACTTAGTGGATTATTACAACGAAGAATTGATGGATGAAATGATGACACACAAAGAAATGTATCCCTACTGGGATCCACTACATGGAAGTCTGACAAGGAACGAGACCTAGTAGATGAATCATTCTAGCTCCACCAGATCTTCTCCAAACGATATGAACCTCCTCGGATATAACGACATCATCCTTTAGCTAAAAGCCCACTCAAGTTCATATTTCTTATAAAAAGAGCGATCTGCACTAAAATGGTTTCAGGGATCGGAAGCTTTCTGATACACAGGATCCTAAAAAATTGCTCGGTGGATGATGAAGATCGTGGTTAGATCTTCGAGAGATCTTTCAGTAACTCCCTTTTGCCTTTGATAGTCTATGATCTTCTTGAGTTCTTGTCTCCACCATGATAGTGGTGAAAACCACTTGAGTAGAGTCCAGAAGTAGAACTTATCCTTGTAAGGATCTGTCAAGATTCTATAGGCTATCTTAGTTTTCAATGCAATAGGAATGAAGTACTAAACAATGTTACACCATATGGTCTAAAGAGTTGGTTCACAGAGATCCCAACCCAGGTCACAGAATAATTCAAAAATTCCCTCAAAAGGAATATCAAGGTTAAAGATTAAGGCTGAGATGCTTTTGTATTTTATGGTTTCATGCAGAAAGTAGAAATAGCGAGTCCTTGCATAGTGGAGGATATAGACTGGTGTGGTTAGGTTCAGTCCGGGAGGACAAATTTTGACGGTTTTGGCTTTGTTTGAGAGAGGTTTGACCATGAAGATAAGAGGAAGACTATATGTGTCAAAAATCAATTAGATAGTCTTCTTGGGTTTGGACAAAAACTTAGGGACTGTGTTGAGGTTTCTTTTAATGTGTTCAACAGTAAAATCATATCTGGAAAACTAGTCCATTAGCCAGAGAATCTAAGGACTAGGAGACATCTTGTTCTTGAACTCTAGGATCTTTGGAAACAAAGAGTTGTCTATCTGTACCTCGAAGTGATGTACTCCGAGATGGAAGTCAAATTTCTTTATTCCATTCTTGACGGTGAAGGCTTCCTTGAATGTAGTGTGGTAATGTTTCTCGACATCCTTGAATTGTCTGCTGACATGACCACAATAGTACTTCTCCCATTTTCTTCTTCAATGAACATTGCTCCCTAGTAATCATCACTGACATCAGTCTGTAGTACCCATTTTCCGTTACCTGGAATCTTCAGAACTGGAGGAGTCTGAGCTACCTTCTTCAGTTCTTTAATAGCTCTAGTCTGCTTTGGTCCCCATGGAGGTGGATTCTTCTTTAATAGCTTGGATAAGAGACTTGTGTATTTGGCAAGGTTACAGATGAATTCCTTAATGTAGTTGACTATCTCGAGAAATTGTTGGATCTACTTGATTGTTAGATTATCATCCAGGAAGTTAAGAAGTTCCTCAATAATATGAGGTTGAGGTTGATAAGAGCCGTGACAAAAGTGCATCCCCAAAAGTCAATTTCTTCTTGGGCTAAGTGGATCTTCTTATCTGAGGGCATAATCCCATGTTGATGGACGATTCCAAAAAATTGATCCAATAACTGTTTGTGGGAGTCCATATTTTGTGAGAATAGTAAGATATCATCAATGTAAATGATCGCTCTGTCTAGTATGGGCTTAAAGATTTTTGTCATGACTTTTTGGAACAGTGATAGGGTTGTCTTAAGCCCAAAGAACATTACTTTCCATTGGTATTGAGCATTGAGTATACAGAAAATAGTTTTGTATCGGTCAGTTGGGTCAATGCCTAATTGTCAGAATTCGAATTTGAGGTCAAATTTATAAAAGATATGGGCTTCTTTTATCAGAGTGGGTAAGAATGAGGCTTTAGGTATTAGAAATTTGTCATCCTTAAGAAAATGGTTAAGAGGTATTGGATAATAAACCTCTTTTTCCCTCTAATTTTTTTAGGACCTCTTTTCCACATAAAAGGCTTAACAAGCCCAATTGGATTGAGTTGGTTTGATCAGACCTTGTTTCAACAATTTCTGACATTCTTGTCTTGCTAACTGTAGGTCTGATGGAGGCATTCCTGGATATGTAGCTTTCGTCGGATTGACGTCTTCGCTGAACTTGAAGGGTAGCTGTACAAAGAACTCAAGATTCTTCTATAGAGACTTGAGATGAGAGAATTCCTCATGGCTTTTAGTGCACAGATAGACTTGCGATATATAATTCTTTATTTTGAGTTGGGATCATCAATTAGAGATATGTGATTGGAGAAATTAGTTTCAAACTCGAGACTTTTTTTTTTTATTCTTTAAATTTAAAATCATTATTACTTTAATGTATTAGTTGTTTGTAAGCATTTGTGTGTACATTTGATTTAACTTTCTTATAGTCATATTTGATCTAAATATAACTGGATTGAGTAGCTTCTATCTTTAATTTTTTTTTCTTATTAAGGAGATTTTCTTATATTATAAATATTGGTATTTTTTTATTATTCTTATATTTTTTTTTATTATTGTTATTCTCATATTTTTCTAAGTTACGAAAAATTATATTCAATGTGTATTTTAATATTTTTTGGTTATTAAGTTACTGTTTACCAACAATCTCTCTTAATTGATCACAAGAGAAACTATTGAGTTTAATATTATAAAGAACTAAGGTAAGTTAATTATATATAAAAAAAATACAATAACTTCTTTAATCCAAAATCTTAATATTCTAAATAATAAATCTTCTCCCTTATAGTTAATTTTCTTATTTATTGAATGTGGGAATTCATCTCCCACGTAAAAGCATAGCCTAACTCAAATACGTTGGTATCATCATGATGTGATGCGTATGAAAGGAGTCCACGTTAGTTATCCAAAATTCACAAAATTCTAGTTTCGTTGGTAGTGTGTCCAAGTGGCCACTTAATTTCAAGTTTAAGCTGCTAACAAATTGTATATGTTTGGACGATTCTCTTAGACTTGTTCACTTGTGAATACATACACATACATATATATGTGGGTGAAATTCGGTTGTTCTATCTACCTGGGTTGGTAGGAAACAGCAGAAATACGACAAAGCTATATGCATTTTGATCAGAATTTCATTTTTTTTTACAATAATTTGATGCCTCAAAATGGTCGATTTGACAGAGCATCAGCATGATGCTCTGGTACAAATTAAATAAAATGACAAGCTATGATTGGGAATGTCTTAAAATTGCATCATCTGGTGTCTCATTTTCTTCATCATCTCCATCTGAAATCGACGAGTCATCATCAGAATCCTGATAAGCAGAGGAACAATCATTTTTTAGTTGTAATTGCATGTCAATCGTAAAGAAGAACCAATCAGTACAAAACAAACAAAAATATAAATGCATAAAAAACTTTAAAACCTGATGATGGTAACGCTTGATATTGTTATGTATGGCTCCGATCGTCTTAATAATTATGTACATAGGTATAATAATTCCACTGGCCCTGAGTAAAAAGACCTACAAAATTCAAATTAATTCAATGATTCACAAAGCAGATAATTTCTTTCAGTAACAAACTGGAAATCAAGTACCTACTTACCGTAAGAATTGTAAATGGATAATCTTCCATTCCATCTGAAAGGAGTGCAAAAAGATGTCTTACAAGCAAGATGAGTGTAAACTGCAAAATCAAGCACCCACTAGTTATTTTAAGACACTCATCTTGACATCATTTTTATTCTTATTAAATAAAAAAATAAACTTAATGTGTATGAATATTTTTATTTGATAGTATTTTTTATAAAATAATAAGAGAAGAGAGTTAATTAGAAGAGAAAATAATCGTTTGTTTCTTGATGAGAAAATAATATTCTTAAGGGCAATTCAATATGGCTCTGAACAAAGCCGCGTGTGGAAGTGCCGTAGTGGCATCCCCATTAACAACGCATTTTGCCGACCAAATCAAATTTAAATTAAAACACAAATTCAAAATCTGAATCGTCCAATTCTCATGTAACGGTTATAAATGCATTCACTCCACTGAATCCAGTTCCATACAACTGGCCCATTCTGTTGGCAATAATTGCAATCTACGAGTGTTTGACTCATTCATTTCCAACCCTAAAAAAAATCTCAGACCAATTAATCATCATTCAACATAGATAATCATGTTTGTATCGCAATGCCAGTTGCCACGGACACTGTTCAATGGCATTTTAGGAAAGATTAATTAAGATTTACCATCACCTACTGTTCATTGCAATTTTTTTATTTTAAAATTTTTACAAGTACTATGAAAAAACTGAACAACAACATTGGATAATGCTTACAGCTAAAGCCAGGGATCGACAACAAGCTGCGCTTCTATCCGCAGCATACGTGCATTCAGAGTAATTGTTTCCTTCAACCATACCCACTATTCTTGTGTTTAACGGTCCTTGTTCAGTCATTGAAATTTGCAGGCTATCCCTGTAATGTAATACACCCAGAACAACATTAAGCTAAGGATTCAAAATAACATTAGTATATGTCCAATTCTTCTAGAAATGATTGAGTAAAAAGGTTTCTGCACCTCAAAGATAAAAACATTGGGTTTGGGAGAAAATCTATGCCAACTTAGCTTAGTCACATTTTAGAATTTTGTTACGATTAAGGCTATAAGTAATTAATTGCAAGGCATATAAGATCCCTTTGATTGAATTACACGCGGAAAAGTTGAGACACGTTGTAACTAAGAGAATTAATTGTATGAAATGCTTAAATTCAACTTAAGCATGTGACATTATATTCAACTTGAAGGAAAAAAAAAATATATGCAATGGGAGAATACCTAATGGTCATTGCTGCATCAGCTATTTGCGATTTCTTAGGAACTGCTGTGTACCCAGGTTCGTATTGCTGCAAAAACAAGGAACAAGAAATAATAGAGTAAGTTTGCGCTCATCACATGTACCCATCTCTTGCATATATGAGTTATGATATTGGAAGGGGACAAGTTCATGAAATATATGAACATTTCAGTAAAGAAAAATGGACATTAAAAAAATAATTGACCCGAAAGCCAAGAGGGATCACAGACAACTCCTTGTTTCTCATGATTAAGAAACGAGGATTACTAGCATCAGTATCAAGAAATCATCGCTTCATTCATGGTTCATACCTGGAGACATATTTCACAAGTTGTGTTTCCTTTTTCATTGCACCATGTCTGAATGCAGTCTCTATGAGCAAACTGGGAAATAGATTATGAAGATGAGAGGATTGTTGGAAGTAAGTTAAAGAAACACATAAGAGATTAAGAAATTTTGGATTTACCTTAACTGTCCCAGAACAAGCACAAGGAGATTCCAAGGTTTTGGTGCTCTCAAATTCTTCTTCATGACATATTCTACACCGAGAAATCCCAGAGAGCGATCTCAAATCATCAACCAGCAAGACAACTTCTTCCATGTTTCTTGCAATCACAGAGAGCTCCATGTCGCATAAACTTCAGCCTTGGTTTTCAAAATCCGTTTTAAACTCTGTTTTCCTCTCTCTCCAAAATCTGAACTTTATATATAAAATTTCACACCGCTGAACTTCCAAAACTACCCTCCTATGATTGTTAAAATAAATAAATCTGTCAGTATTGACACGACCCTTTCTTCCTGATATTTTCATCTGTTTTTTTAATTACCTTTTGGGTATATAATCCATCTACATTAACTCTGTAAAAAAAAGAGTATAGTATTATATAAACCATAATAATTTAATAACTATTTAAAAAATTATACCAATAAGAAATTCTAATCAATTGACCATGTAAGAATGAATTAAAATAAAACTCATTTTTTACGTAAAGATTTCTTTAAATATATGGACATAAATGAAGGCTAGCTTTGACTCCATACATTAGGCAAAGAGAAGTTGCAAGGCAGAAACAAAACTCCTTTTGGCTTCCTCCCAAGGCATGGAGCATTTAAGAAAGTCAAAATTTAGAGGGAAAACATATGAAAACATTAATGTTTTCTAAACAAACAATGAGAAAAAGTCATGGGCTATGGTAAATGGGACAAAGGAAAAATGTTGCTAAGTGTAAAGATTTTTTTTCATGAGAGGTGTAACCTATGGTATAGTGGCTGATTTCCCCAGATAAATAAATAAATAAATAATTATATATATATATATATATATATATATATATATATTCTTTATTTTTTTTTAACTTATTTCCAACAACATCACCCGTTGATTCCTGGTCGAGTATTTTGTAACATCGTAGTTTTGGAGAGAAAAATGCATTGAATATGTCCTTTGGTAAGAAAAATACATCATAAATTTTCGTTCAAGTACGTGTATTTTTCTATTCGTTGTCTTCTAACATTTGGAAGATATTTTCCTTTGAGCTTTTTTTTTTTTTCAGTTTACCTTTTAAATAACAAATACTTAAAATGTACCTTAAAAAAAGTTGAATATTCTTGTTGACTATACATGTGCATTTGAAGTGTTATTGATTAAACAAACAAAGTTATAAACAGTTTTTGTTTTAGACGAAGTAGAATTATAATAAATTAATAAATAGAATTATTCATCTTAAACAAAATATCTTGATGTTAAGTTAAGCAGATAATGGTATATCTACTAGCAATGTATTTTTATTCACATTCTTAATTCTCTGTGAAATAAATAAGTATTAAATATAAATAAAAATAATTTGATATTATTAGTTGTCATACAAGTAAAAAAAAATATTTATGTCATGATTTATGATGTAATGCCATGTAAAATTATTTTATATTTTCAATTCGTAACCTATTTTTTATAAACAATTATATTTGATATCTTTTATATATATATATATATATATATATATATGTATGTATGTAGTATTTTATTCAGATAATAAGATAATTGATGATCTAAAATTATTTATTTAATCAATGTAAGATTTTGTAACACACAGTTACCTAATGGTTTTAAATTGAACAATTCACCATATTATATACATGATAAAGTATTATGTGTATATCACTATTGATTCTCTCATTGTTCAAAGATTACTTACTTTATCCATGCTCATTACCACCACCACTAGTTATTTAGATTTGATCATATAAAATTAACAAGAGTAAAGCAAGTAATATGGTCTTTAATAAAAAAAGAAAAAAAAGAAAAAGAAAAAAATGTTCAAATAGAATATGATGTACATCAATTTGGATAATATTTAAATTGTTGAGTTTTTAAGCTTATATTGCGAGTATGTATTTATATTTTTTTCTTTCAAAAATACTTTATTTAAACCTTACAAGTTTGTTGCTAATATAAACATTTTCAATTAAAGGTACTAATACATTTGTAGAATAGAAGTAATGATATGTATTTTTTATTTCATTATTATAAAATAAAATAAAGAATGCATACAAATATTTCAAGTGAACAAGACAAGAACAAATAAACCTTTTGATTGGAATTTCCCATGATCGTTTTCTTTAAAAGTGACAGATATAATGACCGAAGTAAATCAAAATTATTTTTCTAGCGGGTATTCTTTAACAATCAAAATTATTTTTCTAAGCACATTGAAGTGACACGAATATCAAAATAAAAAAGGAAAAGAAAAAGTGTGTGACATTTGATGATTCATTGCAAATAGCAAGAGGCTATGAGTGGATTTTGGGAGGGTAAAAAGTAAAAACATGCAATAAGATATTCCTTGTTCCCTGTCCCTCGCTCCGCGTACAGCTGCAAACTGCCATTTCCAGATTTAAATCTGGGACCTATGATTCTTCTTCGCCAACGGTAACAAACAACCTCAGACAAAGCTAATTTGAAATCGTGGGCCCCGCTGTTCCATTAGATTAATCCAAACGCGGTCACGCAAATGCATGCATCATTAACGGTGGTGATTCGGCGGGTCCTTCTTTCCATGTCTCATTTCCCATTTCTTTACTCTTTCTATAATAATCTATGATATGGTTTTGTATTTTTTTAATAGAAAATTGTACTATTCAAATGATTCCCGTGATAGGGAGAAATAGAGAGAAAATAACAATGTTATAAAAATATTATGTAAATAACTTAACTTAATAAAGAAATGGTTGGCATATATGTGTTCCACCATTATTTATTAAGTCAAATAATAAAATGATCTGACTAAAATAAAATTTTGACTACAGAACATATCATGAAAATAAAATTGTGTAGAAATCATAGAGTAAATTTTAATTTGATGAGGGATCAAATTAGAAATACTAAAACTTAAGTAATTAACATAATTATGGTTATTTAAAGGGTCATGATCCCCTTCTGAGAGCACAAAACGTAATAATGCTCCTATTCCTATTCTTTTTTTTCTATCCCCATCAAGAGAGAAAATATTGAGGAAAAATAAATGTGCTATGTGGAAGACCATAAGATTAATAATGCTCTAAAAGGAACATCATCATTATGGCTAATTAAGATACACTTTCGCATTTAGTCTACAACATGTTTATGAATATGAGATAATGTTTATGTTTAATTGTTAGAATCAAAATCAGGATCATAATTATTAGTTTTTTAATAATTGGTATCAAAGCCACTCATACTTGATTCATGTTTGTCTTAGAAAATATTTAAAAATTTAGATTCTGTTTAATTTATAAAATCCCAATTTTCGTGAACCCTCAAATTTAAATTTGGGGGTAATATCCCCAATCTGATTCTACTCACTGATGAAACCGTGGAGGAGACCCCAATTTTTATCCGAACGCGCTAATCCACTGCGCTATGCGATCCCCAAATTAGCTAATTCAGGGTTTCTTAAAACCCAATCAATTTATCATAAAGAGATAAAGTTTCATCATATAGCAGAGGAAGCTATGAATTCTTCTTCTTCTTCGTTTTTTTCCTTTTGTTTCGGTTTAAGATTCAAGTTTTACTGAGAAAAAAATAGTGTTTTAAGTTTCAATCTTTCTTGTATTGGGTTCTCTTTTCTCTTTGAATCTTTTGTTTTTGTTTTTATTTGTTTTTTTTTTCTGGGTTTTGTTTTCACTTTCTTTTCATGGTGGATATGGATGAGTTTGAAATTGGGGGTGATGTTGGGGGAGTTCCCAACATAGAGGATCTTAGGCAACTGGTGAATATTTTCACAGGTGTGACTATTCTTATTTTATTGCCTTTATCCTATGGGGGTTTAAGGAAAGTTGATGTTAAATTCTCTATTTAGGGTTTGAGTGATTACTGTTTAATCCCCTTTTAGGGTTTAGGTGGTTGCACTGTTTCTTGAGTAGTGTGTTAAAGAGGGTCAAAACTATCTCTGTTTCATCCTTAGTGTGATTTTAGGGAGGTGTTCATCCTTAGTGAGATTCTAATGAGGTGATTGTCTTTTGAATTAGTTTGTGTTATTAACTCTAAATAAATAAATATTAAATATTTGGTTTTGTTATATAAATAAAATATTCAATTTTTTGGTAGTTTAATATTTTTTGTGAGTAAATTGAGTAAAGAAGTCACCAAAGTAACTTCTCTTAAATTGGTAGTTGGTGAAAAATATTGAATGTTAGTGTTTGTGTATATTCATGCGAGTATTAGTCAGCCCAAAGGAAGATTAATATTTGACCGAATTGCATACACACTTGTAATGATAAACATATGATAATTATAAGAATTTGCTTTGTCGATGATAAATCAATCCAAAGGCTGGTTTGTTGTTGGACGTTCTTTATTGTCAATGTTTCATCATTACAACAAGATACCTGTAGCAATTAATATTATTGTTTAAAGACTTGATATTAATTGTGCATTGAGTGTCTTGAGATGAGTTAAACCATTGAATATATATATTTATAATTATTTATTTTTATAATGCGAAAATAATTAGTTTGTTTCTTTTGTTTTTAATTTAGCTACAATTGCTTCTGTATTTGCCAATTTAAATTCTATTCAGATCATCAAAAATATGTTTCCTACTTTGGTGCGTTGCAAGTCAATTTAGCGTCAATACCTAGTAACACTTGGTGGTTAGACTCAAGTACAACTACTAACATCGGTGTTTCTAGGAAGATTTATTATTAAAGATTTATTTTAATATTTATTATTAAAATAAATTAACGTTAATTATATATATATATATATATATATAAAATAATATTATTTTTATTTTTATTATGTAAAATAGATTGATTCATAAATCTACATGACCTTAGTTTAGTTTATGACCTAAACGATCGAAAAAAATAAATCTAATTTAAGTAATAATTTTTTTAATTTAGTCTGTCTTAATTTTTTAAATTTTCGCTTCTATTAATATTATTATTTTTAATATTTTATTTTGAATTTTCCATAATATATTAATGAGCGGTAACTTATTTTTTTTTAGGATGGTACATGTTGATGGTTGATAAGGAAGTTATGGCATGAACGTTGATTTTGGTTTAAGACAGAGAAGGGAACAAAGCATTGAGTCAGTGTTTGGAAATTTAACTGTTTGGACTAGGAGTGAGAATTAGAAGGCATCG